GGGGTGGGTCTGGGTAGGATGCTCTTCAGAGGGCTCAATGGGCTGAATAGCCTGCCCCCACACTGTAGGGATTCTATGATTCTATCATTGCCTATCATTGACTGCCCTGGAGGAACTGGTGATACAGTAACTGCACCAATACAGCTGTAGAAATGACTCTTCAATATGAATCGGACTGAAGGCTGGAATAGCATCAGCTACAGAGTGCTAGTTGGATGATGAGGCAAGGGTGGTGTACTGGGAATGTCACTTGGGAAGCCAGGCTAATGCTGGGGTCTGTGTATTCAAATCCCACCATGTCAGCAAGTGATAATCAATGTCAATTCATAAATTTGCCATTGTAATAGCTCATCTCAGCAGTCAATTGTTGCTCAAAGACCCATCCGGTTCACTAATGCTCCTTCAGGAAAAATATTCAACATCCTTACTGGGTCTGTGTGTGTCTGCAGTTCTGCAGCAAAATTAACTGTCCTCTGAAATGGCTGCCGAGCTCAAGGACAATTAGGAATAGGCAGCAAACCCCATCAAAGGACAGAATCAAACAAAGCAACGGGTGGCAGAGCTAGCAGAGTTAATTGATGCGGATAGTTTCCCTTTGTTTAAAATTCGGTGTCAAATAGTGCGGAGATTCTCCTCTTTCCCATCAAGAGAAAAATTCCATTCTAAGCTTGAAAGGTTCACGTGGCACTTTTAAAACGGGGCTTTGCGTCTGGTTGGAGTCGTAAAACGAGCAAAGTTTAAGTGATGTGGGAGTTTGATAGCCTCCTGACTCTCATTACACTACACATTCAACACTGCTTTGCATAGACACAAAAGTGTTCATATAACAGCACTGAGGCACTGCTTGCAACCCAGCCAGCCGGTGGTGAATGCACATTTGTAACAGTTGCCTGCAAAGGAATTAGCATCCCTTTCCACCTTTTGTTAAAAGCATTAGTTCTACAGATCTGTCATTGGACAATATAATATTGTCAGTTTGTTGACCAGTGAAAGTTAACCAGGAAATGGTGCAATATAGTAACAGTACGCTGAATTATAAAATTATTTAAACTTCAATTTTTAAGAAGTTTTTCTACAGCAGTTAACATCAACTGATCTGCTATGCCAACCCCATAATGCCCTCCCTCAGCTTCATACTTGGCAAGACCCTGACCTGTATTTGCTGACCCTGACCTGTATTCGCTGACCCTGACCTATTTCCCAGCAGAAATGGTCTCTTTCTCTGTGCTTTTTAATGTTACCTAAGCTTTCTGCCCGATTTGACTCCAGCTGGTATGCATTGTTGCAGCCACTCACTGCCTCTCACCTCACTTTACTTACTTATTCAGCTTTTATCGTCTATTTCCATTCCTCACTGTCAGGCAGCAGGAAACTTAGCAGCACGAGCTTCAGTCGCAAATTTTTTTTCGGTTTGTGCCCTTTTAGTTTCTCTGTCACATTTGTATTTGCCAATTAATGGGCTTATCTTCACTGGAAGGGAATTTATCGCCCATATCTTTGCTTCTGGACATCAGGAGTAAGTAATTATTCTCAGTATTTATTATTTTCTGCTCTGCCTGTTTCAAGCTTCAATGTTTGATTGTTTCATCCCAGAATGTCCTCTTGTTGTCAATGTGAATCGTTTTACCTGTTGTGTTCAGCTTCTGTTGCTTTGTTTTAGATAGGTTTATCTTTGCCCCACTAGGCACCTCTTTGATGCATTTATAAGTTAACTCATATTCATCTCAGTGACCCTTTCCCCTTTCATCCTGCAGCATCTGTCAAGGTAGTTTTCTTTCTGTTTGTAACCTTTTACATTTTCTCATTAACATAGCCAGCATGCTATTGGATCTGGATTAGGCAGAAACCTGAGGGAATTATTAATGCTTTGGTCATCCATCAAACAATTAAATGTACAAGCGATGGGTTCCCTCCACGCTGTCAGTCAGTGCCAAACAAGGTGACAAATTGAAGTGCTGGCCAATTTCAGGAACATCACTGTAAACATGTCACAATAATGAAAAAGTTCTAGAAGCTACAAGAACATTGAAACACAGATTTTAAACCCATCCTCGCCAAGGCTACACACTTGTTCTGAGAAAAAGCAATCTTGCCATTCAGGTACAATGTGAGTGGCAGAATGCTCAAGTCAGAATCAGCCCCACTCTTGAACCACTAAACTAGCCTGACTCTTTAGTGTAGTGCTGAGGCAGTGTTACATACTCCCTCAAATAAACACTTTGCAAAGTTCTAGCAATACCAAAGGAACTCGGTTCTTTGTAATCTGAACACAAGCGCTGATAGATGTAAGCTTTTCTTGTTAAACAGGGTCAGAAGTCAAAGAGAGGCAAAAGTGGGCATTGGACCACAGGAAAATGATGCTGGAGAGATAGTAGTGGGGAACAAGGAAATAGCTGAGGGAACTGAATAATTACTTTGCGTCAGTCTTCACAGTGGAAGACACGAGTAAGATCCGAAAAATTTGAGAGAGTTGGGGCAAAGCGAAGTATGGTGGTCATCACCAAGGAAAACGTGCTAGAAAAACTGAATGGCTTGAAGGTGGATAAATCACCTGAACCAGATGGACTACACCCCAGGGTTCTTAAGGAGGTAGCTGAAGAGATACTGGAGGCGTTAGTGCTGTTCTTTCAGGAATCACTAGTGTTAGGGAGGGTCCGAGAGGACTGGAAAATTGCTAACATGACACCCCTGTTTAAAAAGGGAGTAAGGCAAAAGACTGAAAATTACAGGCCGATTAGCCTAACCTCAGTTGTAGATAAGATTTTAGAGTCCATTGTAAAGGATGACATTCGGAATACTTGGAAGTGCATGGTAAAATGGGGCAAAGTCAGCACGGCTTCATCAAGAGGAGGTCATGTCTGACAAATTTGTTGGAATTATTTGAGGAAGTAACGAGTAGGGTAGACCAAGGAGAGCCAATGGATGTTATCTACCTGGACTTCAAGAAGGCCTTTGACAAGATGCCGCACAGGAGGTTGCTGAGTATAAGGGCCCTTGGTGTTAGAAGCAAGGTGCTAGCATGGATAGAATATTGGCTCTCCGGCAGAAAGCAGACAGTGGGGGTAAAAGGGTCTTTCTCAAGATGACAGCCAGTGATTAGTGGTGTTCCACAAGAGTCAGTGTTGGGACCAGAACTTTTCACTTTATACATTAATGATCTAGATGTAAGAACTGAGGGCATTCTGGCTAAGTTTGCAGATGATACAAAGATGGTTAAAGGGACAGATGGTATTGAGGATGCGGGGAGACTGCAGAAGGATTTGGACAGGTTAGGAGAGTAGGCAAAGAAGTGGCAGACGGAGTACAATGTGGGAAAGAGCGAGGTCATGCACTTTGGTAAGAAGAATAGAGGCATGGACTATTTTCTAAATGGGGAGAAAATTCAGAAGTCTGAAGCGCAAAGAGACTTGGGAGTTCCAGCCCAGGATTCTCTCAAGGTAAACTTGCAGGTTGAGTCAGTAGTCAGGAAGGCAAATGAAACTTTGGCATTTATCTTGAGAGGACTTGAATATTAAACCAGTGAAGAACTTCTAAGGCTCTATAAGGCTCTGGTCAGGCCACATTTGGAGTATTGTGCGCAATTTTGGGCCCCATATCTCAGGAAAGATGTCCTGGCCCTGGAGCGGGTTCAGAGGAGGTTCACGAGAATGGTCCCAGGAATGGAAAGCTTAACACATGAGGAACGTTTGAGGACTCTGGGTCTATAGTCAATGGAGCTTAGAAGGATATGGGGGGATCTAATTGAAGCTTACAAACTTCTGAATGGCCTAGACAGAGTGATATTGGGAAGATGTTTCCATTGGTAGGAGAGATAGAACTCAAAGGCACAGCCTTAGAGTAAAGGGAAGACCTTTTAGAACGGACGTAAGGAGAAATTTCTTCAGCCAGAGAGTAGTGAATCTATGGAATTCACTGCCACAGAAGGCTGAGAAGGCCTGGTCATTGAGTATATTTAAGACAGAGATAGATAGGTTCTTGATTGCCAAGTGGATCAAGGGTGACGGGGAGAAAGTGGGAGAATGGGGTTGAGAAACTTATCAGCCATGATTGAATAGCGGAGCAGATCCGATGGGCTGAATGGCCTAATTTCTGCTCCTATGTCTTATGGTCTTAAGTCACAAGACACCAGGTTATAGTCCAACATTTATTTGAAATCATGAGCTTTTTCAGCCCTGATCTGTCGTCATTTGACTTCAAATAAACCTGTTCGACTATACCCTGGTGTTATGTGACTTCTGACCTTATTCACCACAGTCCAATACCGACACCTCCACACCTCATTAAACAGGATCACAGAATTGTTCTGGTACAGAAGGAGATCTTTTGGGCCATTCCACCTGCACCAGCTCTATTCACCAGCACCGATGTCCGGCCTTTTCCTCACATCCCTGCACCTCATTGCTAATCAAGTGATTATCCAATGCCCTTTGAATGCCTCAAGCCTGACCCACCACATTTCTATGCAAGCATTCCACCCCATAATGACTTGCTGTACGAAAAAAGTTTTTTCTCGCATCACCCTTGCTTCATTTGCACATCACTTTCACTCTATGGACACTCATTCTTGTTATTTTTAAAAGCAGGAAAAGTTTCATCCTATCCACTCTGTCTAGCCCATTCATGGTTTGAAAATGTCCATCAGATCTCCTCTCAGCCATCCCCTCTCCACGGGAACAGTCTCAACTCATTCAATCCATCTTCATAGCTGAAACTTCTCATACCTGGAACTAGTCTTATAAAACGCTTCTGCACTCTCTCCAATGCATTAGCATTTTTCCTATAACATGGTGCCCACAGCTGTACACAATATTCCATGTGAGGTCTAACAAGACCAACAAGGAGATGATTCCTTTACTGCCAGTAACACTTGTCCCAGGAATTGATGGTCTTCAGAACTGATTGAAATGTCAGCATCAAAAAGGTTCATTTAAGGAACTTATGCAGCAAAAAGAAACAATATCAACATCTAAAAGCAGTTCATTTTATTCATTTTCCCTCACCTGTCTCAGGTCCAGGGTAATTGTCACCCAGTGATACTTCCTCCCATTCTGGATGCTGGGACTCTGCCACCAGTTGTTGGTGCCATCTATTGCACTGACGATGGGATGGCGCTCTAGACATAACGCACAAAAAGAAAAAGAGAAAAGGTTTGTTCTTCGTTTGAATTGTGTATGTCCTCCTCCAGGCTGTCTTGTCTTCTTCCATCTTCTGCTTCCATGGCTCATTCCAATTTCAAAGCACGTCACTATTCAGCTAAGATGTCACAGAGTTGGCAATTAAAGGGTGATTTAACACCCGTACGTAGTGCTTACTGTGCTGGAAGGGAGGCCTGGCCTAATAACTTCAGTAACCTCATTTACATCTTGCCCAGCCAAAGCTGGCATTAACAGGAAATGGGCCATGTGGCCATGGACAAAGACTGGACACATTCACGCTCAGATAGTGTGAAGAGAGAGCTATTAACACGGGAGAGGTTCAAAGAATCTAGGACGAGGCAAGATCCACCAATTCCTTATTTGGCCAGGAGAACCACACTTGCTTCAACAGGCCCAATGAAGAGAAGCTTCATGATTTTGGCCTTTGTATTAAACCTTTTACCAAGTACAGCAGAAGGCTGGCGATGGGGCACCATGGAGGTGTTGAAACCTAAAAATTTATGACCTCCATTCCAACCCAATGGGCATGTATCGATTGGCATTTTTACAGTGCCAGATAGCTGGCGGGCAAGTCTGAGATAACAAGGTGTAGAGCAGGCCAATCAGAGGAGCAGGAAAACTGACGTTTCGGGGCTAGACCATTCTTTAGAAAAAAATGATGGGCAAGTCTCCCGTGTTTGGAGACATTTTTTAGGTTCTTGATCATCAAACTCCCCTTCTGTCACACCTGAAACGTTCATTGTCTCCACCACTGACACGCAGTGACAGCAGTGCACACACATCTACAAGGTGCCTTGCAGCAACTCACTCCTTCGACGATACCTTTCAAATTCACGTCCTCTTCCATCCAGAAGGACAACGGCAGTGGACTCAAGAGCACACAACAGCTGCACACGTCCTTCTAAATCACCCAACCCCAGAGGTGCTGTGGAAGTTGCAGCGGATTACACCATCCATGTCGGAGCCACAGGGTGTGAGTCCATAAACTGAAACAGCTCACACTCTTAAAGGGACCACCAGGCACAGGGTTGGGAATCTTGGAATTGGGACCTGCTTGCTACTTTTTTTTAAAAAGGGCTCCTGCATCAATTCAGCGAACATCAAGGCCAATATCATAAACAGGTGTTGGCAGATTACCTTTGCGATTCGCGCTGTTCGAGTCACAGATACGACACTGCGGGTTGCGTATTGGCCGCCCAGGAACATGCTCCACCAGCTTGCAGTACATCTCTGGACCGTTTTCGCCACATGTTGCATTGGTGGAGATCACTGCATTACTGGCAAGATTCAGGATTGCCGGGAATAGACCTGGTGCAAAGGAAACAGTAAATCTTTAGAAAGGGGTTGGAGGTTCAGATCTGAGGCTGATATCAAACCACAGCTGCTAGCTGTAATGACATGCTTGACAGAAATGAAAGCTGGGTGATGGATCCTTCCATTCACTGTATAGGAACGATAATTTTGTTCGAAATACTGAGTGGAGGATTTTATTATTCAATTGCGGGACATGGGCGTGGCAGTCTGGCTGGTCAGCATTTGGTGCCCTTCCTTAGTTACTCACCATTTGTTATGTATTGTCCACACTGTTACACAGAATGACCAAAGTTATCTCATGTCATTTAGGGAAGGAAATCTGCCTTCCTGAACTGGTCTGGCTGGCATGTGACTCCAGACCCCTGCAATGGGGTTGACTCTAACTGCCTTCTGGGCAGGTAGAGAGGGTGATAAATACTGGCCTAGTCAATGATGCCCTCATTCCATGAGCAATTTTTTTTTAATTTAGAAGTTGTCTTGACCTGGCATTGAGAAATATTACAGTTAGTTGACTTAATGTGGTCAACAGTCTTCTAGAGACTAGAGAGTAAAGTCCTTTCTAGGGCAAAGAAATGAGTCATGTTAAACTTGCTTTTTTCTCTCGATTTCTTTAGTCTTCTCTTCTAAGTGCTGGTATAAGCAAAAGTGCTACAGGGACAGCTCTGCAGACAGTCCATCATTGGACACCGAGCCACAGCCTAGTTTGAAGGGTGTCATCAAACTTTCTTTATGTGTACCACATTTCTTTTAGCATACAGTTGAAATCACCATTATACTTCATCAAGGTGTTTAACACAGATATTTCAGTCATCCTGAAACTATCATATTCATGTACAAAGTAACATTTTTTTTTGTAATTCAATCATGGGCGTCACGGTCTAGAAGCCAGCACTTACTGCTCGTTCCAAAGGGCCATGGCTGTGGGTGTGGACTCATACATCGTCCAGACCAGGTAAAGATTGTAGATTCTGTCCCTAAAGGCCATTACTGAATCAGATGGGGTTTTACCCAACAAATCAGCAATGGATACATGGTAATCATTAGACTCTTAATTCCAGATTTCTTATATTATTCAATTCACAGCAAGATTTGAACCCAGGTCTCCAGAACACTACATATGACTCTGGATTAACAGTCCAGCAATAATATCAGCAGGCCACTGCCTCTCCTGGTGCGATGTTTAATAATTAGAGGAGTGGGAATGGATCAAGAACTTTGTGGTCAAGTTCCAGTGGCTTTCAAGGATAGTAAGAACTGTCGATGCTGGAGTCTGAGATAACACAGTGTGGAGCTGGAGG